AATTATGACGATTTTTCAAATTCACAAAACAAAATGGTGGCCATTTAAAATTTTTATAAAATCAACGGTTTTTGAGTTAATTAAGAAACAAAATTTTAAATGGCCGCCATTTTGTTTTATGAATTTGAAAAATCGTCATAATTTTTTTGTAGCTTTGTCTAGTTGTCATTAATGTTTGTGCAAAGTTTCCATTTCGTATGTTTAACCATTCTTTAGAAAAAAAATAATAACTGAAAAAAACAAAATGGCGGCTGTGTGAGTAACTATGGACTTCCGGACAATTTAAATATGATATTTAGGTATGTTTCTTACCCAGGAGCAATGCCCTAAAATATTGGTAGAGAGTTCCGGGACAACCTGTATAACCACCCGTCCACCCAAAGTATGTCATATGGCTCAGCTTAGATTATATTTACGTCAACACACCAAGGTGCGTATTTTAAAACAAAGGATAGCTAAATAAAAGATCAGTTGGCTTATTGGCCTGTATTATTGATTGAATACCCAATTATTAAGGAAAGCTGAGTCCAGTTTTTAACCACTAACAGTAAGTACGGTCCACAAGAGTCTGCAGTTGAGGGAGGAGCCTATTTACCACGTGACTTCGAAGGAGCCAATGAGGACCGTGCGTTATTGCCAAATCTAATAATACCAGCTGATTTGAAAATATTGCTTAGTATATATTAAATAGTTTTGTCAACAGGCGATATGGCAACGTAGCACTAGCCCTGTCTTGTGATTATCTGACGCCAACTGCAGACTCTCGTGGTCCCGACTGTAATTATTTATGCTTTTCCCAGGATCTAACGAGCAACCCCCTGATTAATAGGCAAGCACTTTAACACTCAGCTACCCAGCTCCTGTACTCATCAAATACGTACTCCTGTCAAACAAGAAATTTAAGCCATTGACCATTATAACGAGCCACTATGGTAGAGTGGTTCTGGATGTGCCTAATACCTGTTAATTTGTTCAATCCTGGGTATAAAGTCTGTGATATTGTTGCAGGTCTAAATACGGACTGAGCTGCCCCAAAATTGGGCCTATTTACTTCTTGTCTTCCACAATGATCCCTTTGTAGTATTTCCTATGAAAGTATTGAAAGTTCAACTTTTTTGAGGGATTGGATTGAACACTGGTCTTGTTATAATCTATTACCCTCTTGTTAAAACAAGTAATTGAATACTAGCATTGACTTTGGATACTAGGTACTTCATAATTTTACTAAAACAAATTAAATATTACATGAGTAAAATGAAAACCAGAAAATTCTGTTTATTGTTTTGCACCCCTTCTCTTTATTTAGCTTCTTTGAATACCTTATTTCTCCTTTACCCAGCAACTCTACTATAGTTCGGCCGCTTAGAAAACGACTGCGCGCTAATGCTAAACCAATGCTGGAGGAGGTCGCTTTCTAAGCGGCCGAACTATAGCTGATAGTTACTATACTTTCAGGTTACGGGAACATCACCCCTTCCACCATGGAGGGTCGTCTGTTCTGTATGATGTATGCTCTTGTGGGTATCCCATTGACCTTGAGCGTGCTAGCAGACCTCGGCTCGCTACTCGCTAGCTCGCTACCCAGCATGCCCGAGGCCTCTGGACTGAAGAGATCGCTGGCCTCCGCCGCACTCGCTACCTCCATACTGCTTGTTTACATTGCCATTGGCTCGATCGTTTTCATATCTTGGGAGAAGGAATGGACGTTCTTCGATGGATTCTATTTCTGCTTTGTCACCATGACAACTATCGGATTTGGAGATCTTGTTCCAAGTAAGAGGCATTGAGAAGATTTAATCGTTATAAATTGAGCTTTTACAAAATTTAAAAATCACAGCTATTTAAAATCGTTAGTGAACACAAACCCCTTCCAGGAATCATTTCAAAATCCAGCATCTTGGTAAATTTAATGATAATTTATAAATATATTTAAGGTTTCCTTCTCAAAGCCCTCAATGTTAGTGGTAAAATCCAATTGCATTGATTTTTATTATAGCTACACTTTTAACATTGGAATGGAATTTCTATTTAATCCATATCATAGTCAAAGTTTGCCTATTAAGAAGCAGTGCTCGATTTGTAAAAAAATTGTTGCAGGAACTGAAACCTATTAAATGTGATTTTGTACCTATTAATGCCAATATTTTTATCGTCCGAAAGAGAGGTACCAGAACTGTGTTCCCTGCAAGTCGAGCACTGTTAAGAAGCAAACTAAGTATTTAATAAGGAATTTTGATTCAAATTGGATAATGTTCAGCTAGCTTACCTAGGAAAAGCTAGTAAAGATGATCGAAAACACCACTCTTCTACCAAAGTCTTGTTTGTATTTTTAAGACGTTACACATGTTTTCTACAGGTACTCCGCAGTACATGTTGTTGTGTACACTTTACATCCTGCTGGGACTGAGTCTAACGTCCACCATCATAGAGCTGGTGAGACAGCAGTACTCACAGTCCTGGCGTCATCTACAAGCCTTGGCAGAGACCCTCGGCCGTATGGCAGACCAACGATCTGACGTACAATCTGACTTGCGCAGGTCTCTACTACTTAGTCTATTGTTTACAACTTTCTGTGTACTCTAAGCAAGTTGTGTGAATACCTGTTTTTTCTGTATCCTTTGTCAAAAGTCGTATTGAGAGTTTATCTTTGTATGAAAGGTTTTGACGTTTTCTAACTTAGTTTGCTTAAACAATGGTGTTATATGACAAAAATTACAAAAAGCTCATCACACAAGCAAAAAGTGTCTTTTCAACCCTCATTCATTTTCCAACCTCAGCTTCACCTGGGTCTTAAAACTTGAGCTCGGGTCAAAAAGAGTCACTTTACGCCCTAGTGATGAAATATACTATACATTTTTATAGGTTATTTTTTGTGCAACCTGAATTACAAGAGATAAAAAATACCCGCGCCGCAGCAAACCTGCAGACTAAGCGAATTTCCATTTGCCTGATTGGACTTACACTAAAATTTCTACTTGAAAATATAACATTTATTCCCTATTTAAATAGAATTAGTTTAACAAGTACTTAGGTTTGCTGCATCAGGGAGGGTAAAACCGTTTTTTTGTAAAATGTTAATAGTTAGTAAGAAATAACAATATTTTCCAAATTTGATCAAAATATGTTCATAAACAAGCAAACTACAACAGTTTACTTATTCTCCATAAGAATAAAAACATTATAAATTTAAATTTTGTTGGAATTTCCTCTGTAACCATTAGGCGCATAATAACTCTTCAATATACTAAATTATTTGTTTTTTTAAGCTCTACAAAATGATTTGGAAAGAAATTGCTAAATTTTATGTTTTTTTGGCTAAAAAATGGGAAAACCCTATTTTTACCCCATAAAACCCCCCGTAAACCCCTGTTCCCATAGTCTGATTATGCTGGTTCGCGAACTCGTTCAAATAAATGTAGGTTTACACGTTTATACCAAATTTCATAAAAATCGAAACATTTTTGCTTGAGTTATCGTGCTAATGGACACACACACACACATATATATATAAATTTGAAAGGATGGTGTTTTTGGCCTCCAGGGACCTCAAAACGACAAAAATCGGTCCCGCGTCCAGGTCTTACCATGAGTACTACGGTAATAGATAGCTTATCCCTTATATGGGAAATTCGCTAAAACTAGCTCATAATTTGGTAACTTCATTGACGATCAGCTGATTATATGTATGATCAGCTGATCATATTGTTGCATTATTATATGTATAATATAATTAGGCTCAACATGGTAATTTTGCAATCTCAAAGAGTGTGTATTGTAGATAGTAGATTACATTAAACGTAAATCTTTAATTTTATGTCAAGAAAGGTTTGACATTAAGGTTTCAACTGTGATTCCAGTATCTAATAAATAACTTACTTATAAATTTATTAAATTTATAGCAAACTAGATCAGTTGAAAACAAAAAAAGATTTTGTTGGCCCTACAAACAAATTTGTTTGCGTTAAAAACCAAACAAAAAGATGCTATTGCAAAAGATGCTAGTGCAATAGATGCTAGAGTGTGCATGCACGAGCAGATGACAGAACAGCTGGCAGGCTCCGTTTGGTGAAGATATTTTCCTAGCTCCGGGAAGTGTCATATAGGTTTGTCAAATCGAAATGTTTCATCAACTATTGAATGGACTTGTTAGTTTCTTTCTTACAAGTGTCAATAAACAATAGAGTGGTCGGTAAGATCAAAAATTATATCCAAACGATATCCATACCCCCAGTGCAGTGATAGGAAAAAGTGCTCATTGCCCGGGTGACTCATACTGAGTGACTCGCCCCAGGTTTGTAAAACAAACATACTTATGTAAACATGTGGGAACTGGTTTTTAACTTTCGAAACAAACTGTACTCTTTTAAGCCTTATTCACAATAAGACGTTGTAGATAACAATACAACAAGCTGATGGCTAAGTCAATCAAGTACCATTTAGATTATTGAGGAAGTACTCTTATCAACTATCATCAGTTTTTCATTATAATTTCAAGTCTCTGATAGCTCTCAAAATCATGAGCAATACTTGAAAGTTTGTACAATCTAATCATGGTTCATGTACAATTTGCTAACTAACTATTCTGAGTTATGTCACATATTTTTGGCTGAACTGTCCATCTCTAGTCGATAAAGGGTTAAAATTCCAATAAATTTGAACACAAGGTCAAAGGAAATAATAAAAACGAGAGTTACAGCTGTTAGGTATTTTGCCAAGAGCCAAAATATGATGGTCTGAGATGAGCAGTAGTGCTTCAAAACTCCAAATGGTTGAAGTAGCAAAAGGTAGTATAATTTACACACCCAAATAAAAAACTAATTTTTATTGATTTCCAGGATCATTACTGTGGTCAACTTCACACGAGATAAGAAGCCCAAAGACTGGGAGCAAGCAGTACAGCAGCTAGCAGAGGAGTTGCACAAGCACAGTGTTAAACCACAAGTTGTACAAGTTATATTTTACGAGTCGTCAGTTTGATGAATGAGGTAAAAAATAAATGATCTTCTTTTCATTTTTATACCATGCAGTGTAAACCAGAGATAGTAATTCTGAGAATTTTATTCTGAATGTTAAAAAAATTTAAACTGAAAATGTATTATATTGTTACAGTTAAAAAAGAATTTAAATGTTTATTTCACTGAAAAGACATTATCTATGTATAACATGTTTACAATATACAAATAAATTTTATACAGGTCAATTGTCTTCAATTTTCTTTTTTTTAAGAACCTCATCAGTTACGATTTAAGACATTCAAGGCTTTATAAGTTTTTACTTGACAGCAATACTTCACCAGAGATCATCCGAGCAGATCCTCTAATAATACTTTTTATACTTTTTCGCTCACTCACACAGGTAAAGGCGCCACAATAGTTACAAATAAATTAAAATTCTAATGTGGCCAGCAGAGACAATATATAAGGATTATAAGTTCAAGGTTGGGTCATCAAAGAATTCATTCTAGAGAAAAACCCCTTCTTCAAAAGCAAAGGAGCTTGCTTGTATGTTCCAGCGGGTAGATGACAAATTATGCACTTTGAGTGAGAGTTTATTTAACATTTTATATGACATAAAAATAACTAGAACTTTGTTTAATTTAACTCAAACAAAACCTGGAGATTTTTGGGTTCCCACAGCTTCTTGTGTTGTGGTGTGGTGTAGATTTCGCAAGTAAATTCCATCAGGACATTAGGCTTTAATTGGTGTGAGATTAAAAGTTATTAAATTAACACTAACTTACTTAAGCAGAACTAATTAAAAAAAGTTATGTTTTAAAACGACTTGATAACAAAACTTAACGATACAAAATACTACACATTTGCATTTTCTTGCACACATATTGAAGGTAAGGTATAGTCATTTATACATCTAGAATTCCACTTTCTACTGGTACATTTACCTCTTTACCTTTATTTACCTAGATAAATGTCTTTCCGATCTTTCAATCCTGTATTTTAATTTGCCTTGCTTCTCTTTCTAACTAAAGTTGATCTCTAACTCTAACATTCAGGGCCGTACGCAGATCGGTTTTTCCGGACAATTTTACGGGGGCCCCAGGACGGGCTCCGCCAAACAAATACTTCAAGGGAAGGGGGGCCCAGCCCAATATTTTTTACCCGGTCCTGCTAAAGCTGGGTAGAGCCCTGAACATACTCCGTTCTAAGAATTTGAAGATAAAAAATCCCCCCAAGTAGTCCAAGTTCCATTCCAAAGATTAGGGTAGCTGCGGGGGTCACGGGGCTTGTTACAGGGCTTGACGTGATGAAACCCCTTCAGCAGGTGGGTCAATCGAGTCACAACATCAGGGTTCCTCAGGGCCATGTTCTTCTGCTCGCAAGGGTCGGCCAAAATGTTGAACAAACATGGAGCTCGCATCGACCGACACTTGTCTTTTTTGGATTTCTTACCTGCAAAAAATTAAACATTTTAATCCCTTTTTAAATGAGAAATATATTCAGTAATTACCCTATTAAATTTTTTTTAAATATGTATAACAAAAATATTTTTTTCCTACAGTCACCCGACAAAGTTGGCTTTCTTGTACTGTTTATAGTACAGAAAAATGCTAATTGCTGCATATTTATACTTTGCCGTACGGTTTATACTTTGTCGTACGGTTTATACTTTGCCGCACATCAGGATTCCAACGAAACAACACAAAACAGCGTGGTTCTATTATGCACGTAATCCGTGTACGCTTGGAAATAGGTTGGCAACACTTAAACATAATAATACTATGAGCAGCTGATTGACTATTATAACTTCGATTTAAACTGTCATTTCGTGTTTATAGTTTCGGTATTTCTGAACTTTCTGGACTTTTCTTTTAAACGTTTTTAAAACATTCCTACGATCTTAATAAACAAGAAAATACCTTTAAAGCATTTTTTTAGGCGCAGAAACCACTTCAAATTACAAAAACATACGGAACTATATTCTCAAAACGCGGAGCACATTTCTTGCCGAGGAAAAATAGCGGAGTGATACGGACCGCGGGTACTACTTTCTCTAGGGCACCATTTGTGTTGCCAGCTGAACCTAAAAACGTGTTGCATAGTGTTTGAAAGACTAATTATTTATATGCTTTATAGTGACTGTAGCAAAAATATTATGTGTAACTCGAGTGAAAAAGGCCTTTGCTGCACTCGAGATCATTCAGCACTCTTGCATGCGCTCGTGCGTAAACATTGCTCTCATGTGCAGCAAAGTGCCACTTTCACCACTAGTTACACAAATAACTATTTCATCACTCTCTATTCGAAAATAGCAAATTTCCATACAGCTCATATACAGCTGTAAGTTATGTAATAACTCAAATCAAAATGGGATAATCTTTGAAAATCATCAATTTCCATACACCAAAAACAAATACTGTAGTGCGGTCAGCTGACTTTTCATTACTTTCCCTACGCAAACAATACTTTGCCTGACATCAACAAAGTTACAACTGAAGTTCCCGGTTAACTCAAATGTAGTTTTGTTTTCATGGTGATAAAAAGTATCGTTCAATACTTGTCACGAAAGTCCCATTTCGGGGCGAGATAGTGTTTGACATGCAAGTCGAAGACGAGGGTGCGAAATGGGTCACTTTCGTGACTAGAGAAATATACTATTAAATGTCTTTTTAAATATATTTTTAAGGAGCAAATTTTCTGATCAAAAGCTTATCATACAATTATGTTTTATAATATTATTATTAAGGTCGTACAGTTGGAAGTTTTTAGTTTATCTTAGGCAGAGATATTCTTTATAATACTAAAAGCACCATCAATTATTGATACAAATTATAAATTGATTTTCTTCTGACAAGAACCCTCTCACCATAGAACACAATATCTTTATACTTTTATGTTGTTACAAATACTGAGATAAATGTTACAAATCATAGGAAATGATCTGAGAAGAATCATACAGAATAGAAAATTTGACACAGAAGGAAGTCAAAAACCTAAAAAACATAGATGGAGGAACAAGTGAGTGATGTGAATAGGAAGATGCCAAAGTAGAAGCCATAAACAAGTATTGATGGTAGTGCATTGGTGAGGCCAAATATCACGTTGAACAATGTGTTGCCATCGAAGGAAGAGAAAAACATTAAAATTTTATTAACCGATCTAATAAAGCCACAAATATAATATAAACAAAAATTTCAATATTGAAAAATTCCTCACTCTAAACTGGACAAATTTTCTGAAAATTTTAGAAATTTAGTATGTAAAATACTTATTACTGTGATACTTGCCTCTAGTTTTAGTACAGTGCACAGTTGCTTCATTCCTTAGCCTAAGAACGACAGAGTCATCAGGCACAGAAAAGGGTGTAGTCTGTACTGCCTGGCCTACTAGACTGCTTCTTACTTGGCTCATGTTGTATTGAAGATTTGATGTTACTCTCCCGAACCATCCATCATACTTGCCTCCATGGACTCTTCCTGTCAAGCCAAAATAGGATATCATATTTTCTTTCACACAACCATCATAAACATTTCCCATTGTTTTTGTGCTGTGCTTGTGATAAACTTTTCTTGTTATTTCACCTTAGTTAAAACTAACTCTTTTGAATGTTAACAACCAAACTAAAGAAGGTTATTTATTTATTAAAATAAAACCAGAAATAATGCTTTCATACTCGAAAGTTGATTTAAGATGTCGAGTTAAAATAAAGAGGTATCGGTGATATAAAAAAGCTTTTTAAGTGACAGTAGATATTTATTCAGGTATCATTTAGACAATTATGCATCTGTTGGAGGTTTAGTGAACCAATTCGTAGAAAGATAATCCGTAAGTCAATGAAGGAATGAAAATTCCTCTTCAGACCAGTTTTAGATACAGTAGACTTTCTCTTATCCGGACACCTTTTCTTTTAACTGGACATCGGTTTAACCGACTCGGTGGAAAGGACATCTCTTTAACCAGACAATTTTTATCAGCACATCGTTTAAACCGGACTAGATCGGCAGGAAGTGGGCGGTACTGAAACGACTGTTCTCGTGGGAAAGATTTGAGATCAGTGATCACATGTCTAATTACAATGCTCTCCTAAATTTAATTCAAATACTGTATACAGTATGCATTCCAATGGTCCGTTTTAACGAGTTTTTGGGGACGTCGGTTTAACCACAAAACCGTTATCCAGACTGGCCTCGGTCCCGAGGAGTCCTGATAAGAGGAAGTCTACTGTACCTTCCCATCCAACCTTGTCCTTCTTTCCTCTCAAGATTTCCAACGAGGAAAGCAGATCCAGTAACAAAATTCAACACATTTTTCTATTCCTAATTTTAACCACTTAACCTTTATAACACTTTTTTAAGGCATTCATAAAATTCATGCTTGTATTACGATTCATACCTACAACAAGTTTCCATTCCCCATCTCTGACAGCTGCGATGTTCCTGATTGGATCAATGTTATGCAGCATTGTTGTGTATGGGGGGTCTGATTGATTGTTTAGAGCAGACCACTGGCTCACTCCGTCCAACTGACTATGGGCTGCAAAATATATCCACAACTTTGTAAAAGAGAAATTCATAAAACAATAAAAGCTTACAAAATTGAGCAAAATACAAGTGGATATACCATATAAAAAAATGTATTTGAAATATATGATTTGTAATGTATAAGTTTAACTGTGAGCCACTATCATGTAGCCTACACAGAATTGCACTCCACTGAGGTTCTTCCAAACGTTGAGCAGTGATTTGTTGACGCTCGTCGCTCCTGCTCAAGACGATCGGCCCCTTGTTCTTCATTTTGCTGGGCCATATGATCTGAAATTATTTATCTACTTTTATTATTCAATTCGCAACTTGACTGAGATATTTGTAAGATGTATAAGCTGGTTGGAACTGGCTCGGTTGTAGACTAAGAAATCAAATTTTTTCCTGAGGATCGATTGTAGCTTCTCTCCCTTGTAGATTCTGTATATTATTTTCACTTCCAAGGTCTTTCGTGTTTCATTCTTAATCTTGAAAAAAACACTAAAATGTATACTGTACCTAATGAATCAAAACTAAATATAACTGATATGATAGGTTACGTACCTTTTTTTATTCCGTCTTCAGTCCTAATATAGTCAAAGGGTGACTAGTTTCAGGTCAGAAATGACCCATTTTCAAACCCATTTTCATCAAATTGATTGGTCCAAAATCCGACAGAAGTCTTCGTTATTAGGTACAAACACATGTCGACACATAAAGTTCACACATTTACGACACAAAGCACATTTAATGAAAGTAGCCGGCTACATTTTTATAAGAGACACACTGTGTTCCGTCGTGTCCGCAGTGCTACCTGCGTCAGTGTGTCTCTTATAAAAATGTAGCCGGCTACTTTCATTAAATGTGCTTTGTGTCGTAAATGTGTGAACTTTATGTGTCGACATGTGTTTGTACCTAATAACGAAGACTTCTGTCGGATTTTGGACCAATCAATTTGATGAAAATGGGTTTGAAAATGGGTCATTTCTTACCCGAAACTAGTCACCCTTTGACTATATTAGGACTGAAGACGGAATAAAAAAGGTACGTAACCTATCATATCATTCTACATCAGTCCTGGTGGCAATAATGTTTAAATATAACTACCTTTAAAATGTTTGGTCCAAAATAATCAATACAATTTTTTGTTTACACATCAAATCAAGTGATGATAATAAAAATAACCTGAATCAGCTGTTTTGGTTAACTGCAGCTACAAAGAGGTATTGACGATGGGTACTTTCAAGGGCTGTAGGACGGTAACTGGATTTTTCCAGCCTTGTGACCAACTTCAATTGATTTATCATGGCCAAATAATACTCGTACTCCACATTAGAGAATGAAATCTAAAATCCTCCGACAGAAAAAAGAGTTTGCCCGTCATTGCTCAAAATTTGTATAATGATTCTATTGAGACCAATTTAATCAATGGTACCAACCCAATGTTTGGTTGCCAACTCCTGCAGCCTCCAGTAATGTAGGCAGCCAGTCCTGTACATTGACCAGGCCTCTGTGAACTCTGGGAGTTGACTTCAGTAGAGGACTCCAGATAACTCCAACACTCCGCACTCCACCCTCCCACAGCGTGTCCTTGCCCTGAAGAAGAATTGTTCTTGAACCTATTTTCCGTTACTAAAGGTAGTAATGAATACAATGATACTGTATATACAGGGTGAATAAAAAGTCAAGAATCCACGTCTAATATTTTTCTAAGTAATTATACAGAGATATACTTTTGGTGGTCATGCAAACTTAACAGGAAGTATAATTTTATGATTTTGAAAATTTTAAGTCTCCTTCAAAAATGGGGATTTTGGACTTTACATACAGATATAAAATTGCTGCTTAAATCTTTTAGTAGGTACCAATACTACAAAGGGATTTTATGACATACTAGCTGTACCCGCGGGCTTTGCCCCGTTTAACTTCATAAGTGAGCTCGTTCGCATGGCTCAATCACGTCCTGGTTGAACCCGCGGGCTTTGCCCCGTTTAACTTCATAAGTGAGCTCGTTCGCATGGCTCAATCACGTCCTGGTTGAAGTTTGTTCACTACGCTCACTCACTTTTAGGTTAGAGCTCGTTCGCTGCGCTCACTTGCCTTCAGGTTAGCTCGTTCACTACGCTAACTCGCCTCCAGGTTGAAGTTCGTTCGCAGCGCTCACTCACCTTTTGGTTGCAAATTAGCTGTTGTCATAAATGTAAAAGAAATAATAGTGCTGCACCCTGTTGGTAATCCTTGTAACTTTAATGCTATTGAACATCATAGAACAGAACCAACTTGTTTAATTGAAACAGCTGTTAAGATTCATTAATTCCTTTTAAATATGAGTACTCATAAGGTTAAAATGGGAAACTCCAGAGCCACTGGGGCGGAGCCCAGAGGTCGGAGGGTAAAATCCTTTCTTAGTTAGCGTCTACTACCCAAAAGGAAGATGCCTGCCAAGTTTCAGGTTCCTAGGTCTTATGGTTTCTGAGATTTCGTGATGAGTGAGTGAATGGTATTTGAGCTTTATATATATAGACTAGCTGTAACACGCGGGCTTTGCCCCGTTTAACTTCTTAATTTTCAAGATGATCTCGTTCGCATGGCTCAATCACATCCTGGTTGAAGTTCGTTCGCTACGCTCACTCACCTTTAGGTTGGAGCTCGTTCGCTGCGCTCACTTGCCTTCAGGTAAGCTCGTTCGCTATGCTAACACGCCTCGAGGTTGAAGTTCGTTCGCTATGCTCACTCACCTTTTGGTTGCAAAATAGCTGTTGTCATAAATTTAAAAAAATAATAGTGCTGCACCCTGTTGGTAATCCTTGTAACTTTAATGCTATTGAACATCATAGAACAAAACCAACTTGTTTAATTGAAACAGCTGTTAGGGAAACTCCAGAGCCACTGGGGCGGAGCCCAGAGGTCGGAGGGTAAAATCCTTTCTTAGTGAGCGTCTACTACCCAAAAGGAAGATGCCTGCCAAGTTTCAGGTTCCTAGGTCTCATGGTGTCTGAGATTTCGTGAGTGAGTGAGTGAATGAATGATTCAGTGGTATTTGAGCTTTATATATATAGATTGGGACTCTGTTCTGTTTATTCTAGGAAGATTTACTAACAAAATATTACTTAAACTGGCAGTAATATTTTTGTTAATAAATCTTCCTAGTATAAACAGAACAGAGTCCCAATATGTTATAAAATCCGTTTGTAGTATTGGTACCTTCTAAAAGATATAAGCAGCAATTTTACATCGGTACGTAACGTCATTGACTATTGGATACTGAAGTTGTATTGATAATCAAAGGTAATGTCTACTTACTCCCTTAAGAGGCCAGTTAGAAGCCGCATTGCCATTATAGTTGTTAGTAGCACCTCCGTTGTCAGAGAGAAATAATATGATGGTGTTGTTCAACATACTTTTACTTTTCATTGCTTCCATCACTTTCCCAACAGATTCGTCCACCTTGGTCACCATAGCTGAAATAGGTTAAACAAAATGTTACATTCACTTTTTAGCATACCCTACACAAATTTGATCTTGACCCTTTTGAACGCCATAAAACATAGGGTGGGAAAAAGTCCTAGGACAGATGAATGTGTTAAAAAGTTTAATAAAGATTAAGCAACAATACCTATAGAACTAAGCTATACTGGTCATAAAATACTATTTTTACCAAATTATTCAGTAATACCATTGACTAAATACCCTACCTCCTCAGGGGGACTAGGAGTCAGAAGGAAATTTTTAACGTAAGCATGCCATACAATGCCGTTCAAAGATGTCTTGAATTGCAATGCAATGATACCCTACCTCCTAAGTTCTGTACCCACTAGAATTCAGAAAATCACAAATGTTAGCATAGGTTGATATGCACATCAAGTTAAAGATCTTTATTAGTAAAATTCAATGCTGCAAATTTGAGCCAATAGAATAACTGTGTCGAAAATGGCAGCCGTTCAAAAATTCTAAGTCAAACTAGAAGTCAGACTGGCTACAACTTTACACAAGTTAGATATAAACTTCTATTAGTTGTGAAACTTAATGTGTAATAGAGGGAGTCATTGATATCCTCACCAGCATATATTCGTCTCTTGCGCTCCGCAATGTGCTTGACTGAGTCTACAGCGTCCCGAGGCGCCTGCAGTGGAGCGTGAGGCGCCGTGTGAGAGAGGTACAAGAACAGAGGCTTTGAGACATCATGGTCTTGGATAACAGACTCAGCCTCTCTGGTGAACAAGTCAGCTGAGAATGTGTTCCGTCCATCCCATGAAACATTCAGCCCCCTGTGCAGGTCATAGCCGGGATGGTTCTAATCATCAGAATTGAATTAGGGGATTTTTTCATTTGTAATAATGTGGAATATTATGTATTGAACTATAAACTCTGTGAAAAAGAATATAAAATTTTACAAAGCACTTTCATCTTTAGAGCGCTGTTTAATTAAACATTGGAGTTATAATGTTGGCTCACACAAAATTTGACCATCATTGTCATTGGGAGTGTATGGTGTGTCTATAGTTCAGCATTCAAAGTCAGCCATATTGAATTGTACTTTTGAATACCATGATAATCTAATTTTTCCTACCTGAACAGCTATGTATTTAGACCACTGGTCTGTTCAATGAGAGCAAAGGATTGTTTGGCTAAGTCACATAATTAAGTAGTGAGCGAGTAGAAATATTATGGAAATGGCTGGTCTCAATATGGAATGTCTTCCTTATCAGTTACAAATTTGAGAATCGTTAGAAGTAGACATTTACATTACCATGTTAAAGCTTGATTAATTTTGTTACCAACAGAGTGTGTTGGTCAATTCCCAAATACAGATTTTGTTTTAATAATGCTCTATTTTTAATGAAGCCAAAGTGAAAATAAACATAGTTTTACAACATATTGCTTCTTTTCTTGCCTTCATCAAATATGATATGCCAAAAACCAAAGGAGATATTACATTTAAAATGTGATACTGTGTGAGTGACACTTTCAACTAATTAAATTTGAATAAAATATGTCTATACTATGTTCATAAACAAATGTTGACTCATCACCTACATCATCCGTCATGTAAGTGAAGTGGTTCTGGTGTCCTAACCAAGTGCCGTAATGTGAGTCAAATCCTCTTCTGGTTGGAGTATAGTCTGCCTTGTAGAAGCCGAGGTGCCATTTGCCCACTGCTCGACTAACATAGCCCTCCGACCTGAGGTACTGAGGCAACAGTCGATCCTCTAGTGGTAACCCCCACGGCTGAGGAGCGTAGATAACATCATGCTGCATACCTGGGTAGAACAGTTACAACACCTAAATGCTTACAAGTTACAACTTAATGTTTACATATTTCAATTTAGAGTAAAAACAAAGTTGGAATGCTTTCAAATACAATTTGGCTATTATTTTATTCCTGTAGTTTTTGCTCAAAAAAGACTCAAGGCCATGATTTTTATTTGTAGAGTAAAGTGGCGGCAGCTAGCTTACCTTAGAAGAAGTACAGGTAGATAGAAACATAAATGTGACATATAAAGCACACAAAGTTTCATTCCCTAGAGACTTTTCAAGTATATACAAAGAGATGAGTTCATGAAGTAGTCAAAAAATGTCCATTTTATTTACACTTGAAAAGTCCCTCAGGGGACGAAATACTAATTGTGTGCACTTGAAAGCTATTTAAGTTGATTGAATCTATTTCCTGGCCTGAGGTGTTTCACAAAGGCAACCCGTCAAACAATTTTACATCTTGATTGTTACAATTTGAACAGCTGACACAGGAATTTAAATATACAAATTCAGGTGCTACAACAATGAATTAAGTTGGGGCTAAACCCAATAAACCCTCTGTATTTGACCATAGCCAAAAATAATTATAGACCGACAGCGGTGCTGCGGTTACCATATGTTCTGGCGTCCACCGCTAGGACTGCCGTGTAGTTACAGCGCACACCTCTGCAGCGTCTACTGGTAACATATGGCAAGGAGCCAACGAATCAAACACCGAGCGTGCTCTAGTGGCACAACACGGAATCTTCCTTTGGCAGTCTATGTTTATTCTGTTTGTCTATTAGACTAACCATAATATCAATCAAAGTCGAATAATTTCTCACCATTACTGATGGGGTGTCTGCCAGTAAGCAGGGCAGCCCTGGCTGGTGTACAGATAGGCTGAGAGTAGTAGTCCTGTAGAATGACACCAGAGTATGCTAGGGCATCAATGTTGGGTGTCTGGAACTGGTCTGACCCATGGAAACTGACATCGTTCCATCCCTGAAAACACAATGTAGAAAAATCTGTAAAAGGACTAAAGCCTTGACATTCTATTGCTTATCAAGAGAATGTAAATAAAGGGTGAGAAATACCACACACTCCAGGTAGAACACTGCATGCCACATCGTCACATTCAATAAGGTTTTTTGTCCTAGGACGCTTGGCAGCCCGGGATTGTTTTTCACATTACTACTTCCTGGACCTAGAGGTTGTGTCATTATCTCTATTGATGATTTGGCGGGATTTGGACCTGGGACCTCAGGAACAAAAGTCCCGCACTCTACGACTAGACCAGTGTACAATTCATGCGTTCAGATACACCATTGTGCTGAGGTAATTTAATGTATGGTGTACTGTACATTTCATGTTTACTCTTTTTTGACCAAACTGTTTGAAGACATTTGATAATACTCACTTTCATTTATACGTGGAATTATAACAATTAATGGAAATTAACTGAAATTAACTCATTCATGTCTGTACATTAAATTACACCAACATTGGATTCCTTTTTGAAGTCTCTTGACTGACTTTTCAAGGTTTCAAGATCTGCTTTTCTCAAACACTTTTATCACAGAATTAGGAGAAATCTATGTTAGGTATACGTGTAATTTACAACCATATCTGCAATCTATATAGATTTTACACTCATTGCCTCAACTTGTTCCTCTTGATCCATTATTGAAAAAAATTTAAAACTAGTTTTCATTTGGAATCATCACAGTTTTCCTCCTTTTATTATCGATATAAAACCTATAAGTTAAATCGTTCGCAACAAGAGATAAACAATACAAGTAATTTGTTTACAACAAAATGCAATGTTTGTGTAATTGCATTGCATGCTACACTGAGTATCTACCTATAAATACTAAAAGCATTATAAATATCTAAAGATATTGATTCAGACTTACCAAGTCATCAGCTAAAATTATCACTATGTGTGGAGCACTCAAACATTTTGTGATCAGAACTAAAATAGAAGAAATTGTCAAGTACATGATGAGAAGTGAGATGCTCTCTCCCAACCTCTAGGTCAACATCAACTGAACTGTGAACGGATGTTTGCTGAACAGGCTAGGTAGGCACACAAGGCTTCATTCTCGGAAAGGAAAAGCCTTAGATAAAGTTGCATGTTATCAGACAGTAAACTTCTGTTTATAATCTGTATAGTACGAAATCCCAGATACTTTTAAAAGCATTTTTATTGTCAACAGTAAGTGGGCACTCGGAGTTGTATACTTAATTATCATTTAAGATGTTGAGAACTGATATTCAGGAGATTGCAGTACCAGTACTGCCAATTATTTCACAAGAGATATCTTCAAACACATCACCTTTATATCGGTGAAGTAGCCCTTTAATAAACTAACTAAGAGGATATCAGGGTATTTTCCTTGACACAAGACATTACTTCAGAATTATTACCTGCTCCAACACTAGACCATAACAGATACAAATTGGGAAGACGGCAGTGGTGTAGTTGTAAATTTAAAAGCACAGGAAGGCTCACCTATGTAGTGGTAAACGGGTCTCCTATCAATATATAGGTTCTTTGAAAAAGCAGAGCGGGAACCGAACCCATGCGTTCCCGCTCCACTACACCACTGAGAGACAGATTATTAAACCTGAAACCAAACCAAATAGTAAATTTTTCAAAACAATTATAACTGATAAATCAACTGATTCTTTAAAATCCCGCATTGAAGCATGTAAACCCAATAAGAAAAATTTTCAAAACTCGTATTACAATTGTTGTGTAACAATTTTAAAACATTTTGATTTTAACTTCATATTGCAACAATTTTAATATAAGATTGAAACAATTTTAAAATTGTTTAACAATCAGTTTTTTTTCTGTTAAAAAAATAAGTTTTAATACAATTTGTAACTATTTTACAACAATGTTAATATTGTTTAGCAATCAGTTTTTTCCAATTTAAAAAAATAAGTTTTAATACAAGCTGTAACTATTTTACAACAATTTTAAAATTGTTAAACATTTGCAGTTAAAAAAACTAGTTTTAATACAAGCTGTAACTATTTTACAACAATTTTAAAATTGTTTTATTCTTAGTTTTTTTATAAACAATTTTAAAACAATGTTTAAATTGTTTACAATTAGTCCAGTGAATAGAGGTATGTTAACTTACAAACGGTCCGGTAAGTCTAAATTTTTTATATGTTGTCTAGGATGGTAAGTAGGTGTTTAAAACAAAAAATGCACAATTCTCCCCCCTCCGCCATATTGAAAAATCGAAAAAATCTGTACTTTCTGGAGATTTTCGCCTATACAGTAGAGTCCCGCAAACTCGGCGTAATTTGGACTGGAAGGGTGCCGAGTTTGTGAAATGCCGGATTATCGGGAACTAGGGTTAAAAATAAGAACAATACAATTTTTAAGCCTTTTAGCTGCCTTCTTTATTTATAGTTATATTACAAGTCAGGATTAAGTCATCAGATATAGTACAACAAGTCCTTGGTACAAGTTGCGAATGATTTGACTTGAGCTGGCTTGAGTCCATGTTTAACTCTGACTCAAAAAATCACTAATTTTCTGAGCCAGGTGATGGCCGAGTTATCCAGACTGCCGGGTTATCGAGTGCCGAGTTTGCGGGACTCTACTGTATCTCCGTTTTGGTGCGTTTTAGTGAAAGATATGCAATTTCAATGTTGTAGACTTTTAATTTCCTATAATATAAGTATAAAAATTTAATTCTAAGACTTATGGATACGAAAATACTTAATATTTTTTACAATAAAACATCAATTTTTTTGTTATTTTGTCAAATCTCTATTAGTCCAAGCAAACTAAAAAAACTGACACAGGGAAAGGTTAAAAAAATTGCAAGAAAACGTTTTATGGTTTTATTTTGTAGTGTTGGGTCTGCAGAGTGACATCCTAAAGGTTGCCAAAAATCGGTCCACAGAAAACCTCCTATAATCTCGATTAAAAATGGCGGCTTTTTCCAACATTGGACAAATTTGAAAAAGATATGCCACATGCATATTTCATTCAAAATTTTTGAGATATTGACTTGGGACGACCACTGATGTTTATTGGGTGGGTAGTACTTCATTTCGATAGGGAACTCAATTTTGGCCGCCATCTTGGATCCGCCATATTGGATATAAATAAAAAAATTAAATGTAATGATAACGTTGTGACACATCATTATAAACTAGATTTTCACGCTGATTTCAATGCCGAAATCCGTTTTTTAATATCTGTTTACGTATGGTTAATATCTGATTACGCCATATCTGTTATACTTATATTATAAGAGAATTAATTGTCTACAACATTGACATTACATATCTTTCGCTAAGATGCACCAAAACGGAGATATAGGCGAAAATCTCTAGAAAGTACCGATTTTTTTATTTTTCAATATGGCGGAGGGGGGAGAATTGTGCATTTTTCGTTTTAAACATTAGACTTACCGGACCGTTTGTAAGTTAACCCCCCTTTTTCGGTCTCTATTTACTGCACTAAATACTATTTAACAATTGTTTGTGTAGTTCTTAAAAAAACAAGTTTCAACAATTTTAAAATAAATGTTTATATTGTTTGATTATTTATGTTTAATCTTAATTAATGGGTTGTATCCCTTTTTGGCCGTTTTTAAATTTGCTTGCATTTAATTTTAATATATACTAGATAAATAGGTGTTATCAATAGTGTTTAAATAACAGCCTATAATGTTTAAATTTTTTAATTGAAAATGAAATGAAGTTGGAAAAGTACCTATTAAAATATGTAAAAATTATGTTTATTGTACAGGTAAAGCATAGAAATAAAATAATTCTTCTTAAAAATAATATTTTTTAAATATAATACAATTCTTTATAATTTTGTAGTAGTTATTACATTATGAATATTGAATTAGGCCTACTTGAATAGATAAATTCATAATGCATAAGTTACCATTCATTGTGATAGTTGTGATACTAGATACAGTGATGGAACACCTGCTTAACATATAATAATAATAATGCAAATATTTTTGTTGTTTTTTTTTCAGTTATTGGAGCAAATTTTTAGTAGTTGAACAATTTAAGGGGGGTAGATGAATTAATCATATAACAATAATTATGATAACATTAGCAATGTTAATTAATTCATCTACATTCAAATACCGGTATCCTCCTCATCTCCCAGAAAATCAATTCAACAACTTGAGGTCTAAACATAATCATAGATCAAAAGTATTAAGTATTGCAACCATTGCAACTGTCCGCTCCTCTTTTACCAATTGAAAACATAAATGATCAACAACCACAAATAGCTCAGAGGTAAGGTAAGGGGGTTCATGGTCTGGTGGTCCTGGGCTCAAGACCCGTGGTGGGGCAAGATAATTTTGATTCTAGTTTTTTCTCAAAATTTGTTTTTATGAACTATTTAATCAAAATGCTCAACTGATATATATGCATTTCATACAAAATCTTTATTATTTCGCCTTTAGGAATATGCCCATGGCATGGTTGGTCCTATGTGAAAACAGTTTTTAACTTGTTGCAAAGTCAATTTTTAAATTGTTGTAAAAACAGTTTAAAAATTGTTGTAAAATTGTTGCAATGTAGTTGTAAAACAATTTTTGAACTATTTTAAATTTTGCCGGTTGTCAACTATACTCATATTAATAACAGTTTTAATATAAGTTTAAAATTGATATTAAAACAATTGTTTCTCGTTTTTCTGCTACTTGGGAAGTTTCTTTCTGATAACAATTCTCTTCCTACCAAAACTACAGGCATCATCAAATATGTATTCCAAAAATATTGGATATGTTTACACACTATTTACAAGACGGCGAGGATATGTAAAATAAGTCACAATGGGAACAACTGATTTTTCTCTCTCCTACCAAACTAAAGCTTACTTTTACTGAAACAGAGCCGAGCCTTAGGTGGTGCAGGGACCAGAGCAAATATTCAGAGCGGGGCCCAGAGCAAACATTCAGAGCAGGGCCCAGAGCAAACATTCAGAGCAGGGCCCAGAGCAAACATTTAGAGCGGGGCCCAGAGCAAACATTTAGAGTGGGGCCCAGAGCAAACATTCAGAGCGGGCCCCTACTTCTAAAAAGATGGTATTGCAAAAATACTGATTAACAAAAATAAAAATATCACTATACAATAAAGTAAAACCTCTACTATAACCGTTACCCTCGAGACCGGGAGCAAATAGAAGGATAGCAAAAATCCCGTTATAAACCTGTGCTGAGGGTAGATTTAAAAGGTTTTGAAAGAAATGAAATCCTGTACAAGTGAATAATAAATACTTGTATTAAATTTCTTACATACGAATTGTCGGTACGGTATGTAATTGAAGGCCATATAATTGACGATTTATCATTAATCAATAATATACCAATCTACTTTACTTGTTCAATGTTTGTACAAAGAAATGAAATCACATTCTAAAATAATCTATGTAATGTAGCTGGATGACAGATAACAGAGAGTGGCGGTTAATACAGGTTCTTCTGTACAGTATTATACTTATACTCACCCCCCATAATTTCCTCTATCACAAATTTAAAATTTAAATTTGTTTTTCCTTAAATTTAAGTTAAAATAAAAATCACAATATGGAACGTGTACAATAAAATCTGTTCCCACTGTCACTTAATTTATTTTTAATCAGTTATCATTAATTTTACAAATGGATTTTAAAACTGTCAACACCCTACTAGCAGCAATGTGACCATCTTTAAACCAATATATCAATATACCAATCTACTTAGAACACTCCCGGGTATATGACCATCTTTGAACCAATATAGGATTGATTAACCAATCTACTTAGAACACTCCCGGGTACATGACCATCTTTGAACCAATATAGGATTGATTAACCAATCTACTTAGAACACTCCCGGGTATATGACCATCTTTGAACCAATATAGGATTGATTAACCAATCTACTTAGAACACTCCCAGGTACATGACCATCTTTGCACCAATATAGGATTGATTAACCAATCTACTTAGAACACTCCCGGGTACATGACCATCTTTGAACCAATATAGGATTGATTAACCAATCTACTTAGAACACTCCCGGGTATATGACCATCTTTGAACCAATATAGGATTGATTAACCAATCTACTTACAACACTCCCGGGTATATGACCATCTTTGAACCAATATAGGATTGATTAACCAATCTACTTAGAACACTCCCGGGTATATGACCATCTTTGAACAAATATAGGATTGATTAACCAATCTACTTAGAACACTCCCGGGTACATGACCATCTTTGAACCAATATAGGATTGATTAACCAATCTACTTAGAACACTCCCGGGTACATGACCATCTTTGAACCAATATAGGATTGATTAACCAATCTACTTAGAACACTCCCGGGTACATGACCATCTTTGAACCAATATAGGATTGATTAACCAATCTACTTAGAACACTCCCAGGTACATGACCATCTTTGAACCAATATAGGATTGATTAACCAATCTACTTAGAACACTCCCGGGTATATGACCATCTTTGAACCAATATAGGATTGATTAACCAATCTACTTAGAACACTCCCGGGTATATGGCCATCTTTGAACCAATATAGGATTGATTAACCAATCTACTTAGAACACTCCCGGGTACATGACCATCTTTGAACCAATATCGGATTGATTAACCAATCTACTTAGAACACTCCCGGGTATATGGCCATCTTTGAACCAATATAGGATTGATTAACCAATCTACTTAGAACACTCCCGGGTATATGACCATTTTTGAACCAATATATGATTGATTAACCAATCTACTTAGAACACTCCCGGGTACATGACCATCTTTGAACCAATATAGGATTGATTAACCAATCTACTTAGAACACTCCCGGGTACATGACCATCTTTGAACCAATATAGGATTGATTAACCAATCTACTTAGAACACTCCCGGGTACATGACCATCTTTGAACCAATATAGGATTGATTAACCAATCTACTTAGAACACTCCCGGGTATATGACCATCTTTGAACCAATATAGGATTGATTAACCAATCTACTTAGAACACTCCCAGGTACATGACCATCTTTGAACCAATATAGGATTGATTAACCAATCTACTTAGAACACTCCTGGGTACATGACCATCTTTGAACCAATATAGGATTGATTAACCAATCTACTTAGAACACTCCCGGGTACATAGTTGAGAGAGTGGTACGAAATGATGGTTTTCATAACTGTGAAATCCAGTTTAACAAGGGTTCATCTTTCTGAAATAAAAGCCCCATTGAAACTGTAAACTTTTATTATAAATAACATGTAATCAACATGTAAATGTCTTTAAAGATAAAAAAAAAATAGAAACAGTAGAAAGTACATTTCGTAACAGCAGACAATTTAATAAAGCTCAAAGCAAAATGTTGATATATATTTATACTACCCATACAATTTAGAAGTATATACAAACATCCTAACACATTATGATTTCAAATCACCTAAACTAATTAGAGTGTCATGGAAAATATCCAACATCTCTTACTCGTCAATAAAACATCAGACGAATAATGCTAACTTATAACTATTTTTGTCACTTAATAAGTTTGATCACAAGCTAAATGGTATCTTGATCTAATAGAAAATGATTTGATTTGATGTAGCCTATACTTACTGGAGTGTCCACTGACACAAAGAAATTAGTAATAATAGAACCATGATTTGATTAATCAAACTTTCCAATACAATAGAGGATAAAAATATTTGGAGTATACAGTATTGTTTCCAAGTACCAAACTCAAACTTATAAATTTCAATGAACATGAGTTCAATATTGGAAACATAATTATTACGGTAGTTTATTTTTTATATCATAAAAGATATAACTATCTTTTTATTGATTGTACCATCTGAATAGAAGAAAAACATTCCCTAAGTAGTTGGTTTTCCTCAGACAAAAATAAACAGACTGAAAAGGGTTAAAGTTCTGATACGGCAAATTATTAAAAATGTGTGTGAATAGGCTGCAGTAAGCCTATAATTTTGATTCAAGAGTTTTTGTTGTGTTTGGAACCATATATGCTACAGTTTTCTATCACTTCAGTCTTTAAAAACTTAAATAAAACAACAAATTTGATTCTATGGAAGAGCATGAGTCAAATTTCAATGTATAACAGATATAGCTAGAAGAATATGGTCTTGGAACGTGAAGTTCCATCAAGGCATTTTACAACTTACAACACGTTATTTTAGAATGACTAGTGTAACAGTCCAATGAAAGGAAATATTCTCTAACTACTATAGTCACCATGTTGATCTCCTTACATGGTTCTATGATAAATAAACACTAAAGTATGTACAAATTTGTTTTTTTTTACAATTCTCTAACTTATATATATAACCACAGCATTAAGTAACATTAGGTCTACATTTAACAATAACATTATTTAAATGTCCAAGTTGAATCTACAAGTTTGTCAACATTAGATACCGTACAGATTCATGGGTACCCAATAGAGAAAAAAGTACTTCCGTTCCTTAGCTCTTTAGCTATAAGGTGAAAGTGTCACAATATAATCAAGAGTAATGTAAAACTACTCTAAAAACTGAGTTTAAAATTACAAAATAATAATTGATAACCATAATTGATAACCAAATTTGAATCAGCACTACATAGTGCATAAGGAAATATGGAAATTGATAATCTTTTGTCAAATTGTATTCCAAATTATACCTTTGTTTTTCAAAGCTTTAACAAAACTGAAAAAATAACGGCTTCGAACGATTTAAACAATTTTACCAAAGCATCTCACATTACATTCAAAGCTTTAAAATATTTTATATTTTAAGTCTAAAATCCTTACATATAAAATCATTAAAAACACTTCAAAGGACAGAATAACACAAACATTTAAGTACACTGTATCATAGTGCATTGCAGAGTTTTAAGACCTTAAAATCACTTTGTCCGATTCTCTCTGAGAGAGTTTATCACAACACTTTCACATGTCGATGGTCACTTCTTCCTTGTCAGGAAGGTCCAACCGAGGTCAGCATCCGTTGCGGAGATTTGCAGAGGAGATCTCGTTAGACTCGTTCCATCGGAGCACCTCCAAAGGACACTCGGGCTTCTCCAGCCCTCTCTCGGGATCTGCCGCTTTGGCTCCGTTGGATAACAACTCTGTCATGACATCCTCCGCAGAGACATTGATCAGCCTTTGGCGACACAGCGCGATCGCTCTCACAAACTCGTCCTTGGGCGTGATGAACCTGTGCTCCATGTAGATGGAGTTCTGGTCCCAATAGACGATCTGCAAGTTGAGAAACATATTAATGCAAGAAATGTGACAATAAGACTTCAATCACTGAAAGGAAGATTGTAAGGAGAATACTGTCAAAGGGTTGCAATTTGTTTTTAAGAGGTTGGCGGTCTCTTTTAACCTTGCATGCCCGTCCACATAGACTACAGATCTGTGTGTAGAACGTATCCAGCAAAGCAAGGGGTGAGCCGGTACAGTACGAAGGTGAAATGTACTGATAAACTGTTTTCGGCAGTGACCAAGGATCCGAACCCACGACATCGCTGCCTTGGGCCCGAAGTCCACGACACTACTGACTCTGCCACTGACTCACCACCCTTTGGTTAGGCGGATACCCTTAGTCACCCAACAAAAACTAGGATCACCTGAGAGTTCTTGGGGAGTTTGCGCTTTTATTTAGATAAGAGTGATCCATTGGGTAAAAATAGAAAAATATTTCTGGCTAAAAATGTAGAGTGTGCGAGGTAGTTATATTTCACTGTCAGATGATTGAAATAAATACATGAGCACACTTAACTTTGGAATGAATAACTCCTAACAATTTTATGTGCTGGCAAAATACTCTTTATGGCAATAATGATGAGATCTCTTTTCTTTATAAAATTGTAAGTAAATCTGAGTCTTTTCCAAACAATGGGATTCATACATTTACCAAATTACAAACAATGCAAAATCAATTAACAAACTTGGTTGAATCATTAGATTGTTTATGTGCTATGAAGTCATGGATGGTAATGAACGGTTTTTATTTAAATACAAATAAACTATAAGATTGCATATTGCATACACAACTAGTATCCAAGTTACTTCCGTGAATTTCACACACTCACGATTCACAGATTCATAATCTTCACACACACATTTAAGAGAAGTTGAGCCCCTACCTTGGAGGTAATCGTGTAAACGGAGAAGGGACGCACAAACCGTCGGTACCGGATGGTACATGCCCCTTGGACAACGGCCCCACCTTTGGCACGAATGGTACGGTACAAGTCTGTCCTCTCGTAGAAGTCCACTCTGGCAAAGTCCAACTCTCGTAAATACCTTGCATTGTTCATATGGTACAGCAGTGTATCCACATCCGTACTCAGGCACACACCTGGAATATTTTCATTCATGTAACAGTTTGCAGCATTACAAATAGTTCAAATTTTGGGTGCAGAATTTGGTAAATTGATTGTTTGCTATAATATTTGCCAAAAATATAACACTCTTTTTTGGCACAGTGCAATGGGTGCTAAAATGTTATGCATGGAGGTCAGTAATTAGTTTATCGTAAACTGTTTTGATTATTGTCCATAATGAATACAGTATTTACATTCAGTTTGCCAACGCCTGCAGTTCGAACACAGATATAGATAGCATGAGCTTACGTTAATGTACTGCAGTATGTATCAGCGTTTGAGCAGGAGCCAAGTCCATATTGCGACTGTAACGAGTTGGCGAACTGTTTTACTGCTCCAATTTTTATAGCAAATGTTTTCGCTAATGTGAAATTTTCTAAGTTACTTAGCTTTGTAATAATAGCTTTCTGTGAATCTGTGTTGCGAAATTCAAAAGATAAAATTGTAAATGATTAAAAATGTACGAAATGTCACTATTTTATTTTAAAATTGTAATAAGATGATACGTGGACTATTTTAAATTATAATAATGACAATGATAAAAGTTTGGACTGGTGTTAGAAGAGGAATATTACTTTGTTACTAATTAATCAGTGTTGTTAATATTTATGTGTTTTTAATAGACAATATAGTCAATATAGTTTTACCCTCAAGCTCATCATCAAAATATTCCTTTATTGATTTTTAAGAAATCATTATTTCCTAATTTGGCTAAATCCCTATGTTTTAGAACATACTGTATCATAAACATGTGCCTATCCTTACTATCAAATAATATGTTTTGTTATCAAATAACGATACAAGATAGTCTTTGAACTAAAGACTCTGTTACAGCAGTATTCTATTCAATTAGGCAACTATGATTAACATGCAACAAATGTTAGCGGTCGAGGCCGTACATGAGGTCAAGTACACACGCCCGTCCTGTACATGTACACGTACATACCATGTGTACAACGTACAAGAATAGGGCAAGAGTGAAACATAAAATCTCGGTGTGTCAGTTTCGTGAAGAATCTAGAAGGGGTATATCATTGACTATATAACACTACTAGCTGACCCGGCGAACTTCGTATCGCCTAAGTTATAGGTTTCCCCTAAGACAGACCGATGGAAAGAAAGTACCGTTACGTTTAATTTTCAAGATGATCTCGTTCGCATCGCTCAATCACGTCCTGGTTGAAGTTCGTTCGCTACGCTCACTCACCTTTGGGTTGGAGCTCGTTCGCTACGCTCACTCACCTTTAGGTTGGAGCTCGTTCGCTGCGCTCACTTGCCTTCAGGTTAGCTCGTTCGCTACGCTAACTCGCCTCCAGGTTGAAGTTCGTTCGCTACGCTCTCTCACCTTTTGGTTGCAAATTAGCTGTTGTCATAAATGTAAAAGAAATAATAGTGCTGCACCCTGTTGGTAATCCTTGTAACTTTAATGCTATTGAACATCACAGAACAGAACCAACTTGTTTAATTGAAACAGCTGTTAAGATTCATTAATTCCATTTCTCATAAGGTTAACATGGGAAACTCCAGAGCCACTGGGGCGGAGCCCTTTTAACGAAACGGGAAATAGTTTACGTCCGATTCGCATACCTACAGAATTTACACACCAAATTTCATAACGATCGGTGAAGTCGTTCCGGAGGAGTTTGCAGACAAACACTGTGACACGAGAATTTTATATATTAGAAGATAGTCAATGGGTATATCCAAGAAGAGACCACCACTGTTAGAATGCAAGTTAGGTTAGGTTGAATTACATCACCTTCATTTGCATAAACGGGATTAGTGGCAGCCCTCTCATTGGAAAGACCCATTTTTGAAGTAGTCTATTTTTTAAAGAAGGTTAAGAATACCATTTTTACACTAACGTCAAAAGGTCATGTTTTTCTTTTTGCCTTTGTTAGGTTTTGAACCTTCAGATGTTTTAGTGTTTGTTTTTTCGTGATTGCACACCGTTGGATTTCGTCGTATTTTTGTAAGGACAATTTTGTCCTTTTCGTGTTACCAACTAACATTGACTTTTTGTTAAATAGCATCATTACCTAATTTTAGCCCAATGACAAATTGTATTTAGTTTGGAATTGGAACAACGACCCTCGGAGTTTAAGACGATCACATCCACTGCATACAACACGTATTGTAGACAAAACGAATCAAATATAGACCGTATCTGTGCTGCGGTTACCATAGGTTCTGGCACACACCGCTGGGAGCGCCATGTAGTTACGGCGTACGTGCTACGTAACTACACGGTGTTCCCAGCGGTTTGCGCCAGAAACTTTGGTAACCATGGTAACCGCAGCAAGGCTGACATTCTATATTTTATTATTTTTGTCTATGATTGTACAGGGTGAGTCAGTGAAACGGACCATTTTTCGGTAAGTATTAAAAAAAGGTCAAACATCATACGATCGATTTATTCATTAAAAAACGTAGTAAATGAGTGGAAGTTTGTGTTGAACCAACAAAACAAGCATCAAGTCTTGAAAATAATATCAGAGTCAACTCCTTAAACTTTTAGTCAAGCCACAAAAAAAAACAGGAGCTGAGGTCAGAGGATCAAGGGGGCCAGGCAATATCTCCATTTCATGTCAAGGGAAGAAACGACACACCAAACCGTAGCTTTATTAGAGTGAACTGGCCATTCATGAAGTGCTTGTGGACGGACCAATATCAAAAATTTGCTTATTGACATCCCGTTAAGTGAAAATAAGCCTCATCGCTCATCCATAGGCTGTGAATTAGCTTTGGGCCATCTTGCATATTTTGCTGATGGTATGGCAACTAAGTATGGCAACTAAACTTCCAGAGGTTGGGAACGCAGGGTAACTTACTCGGCCCTTTTCCTTCTTCCCCTCTATTTACTAACGTTATAAGAAAATAGCCCGTTTCACTGACTCACCCTGTACAATGTACATAACAGTTTTACCAAGCAGAATACCAAGTACACACATTCTACGCTACCGACGACCACGTTACCGAGAAACGATTGCAATTTAGCCAAACCACTGACTATAAACCCTGGACAAACACACTTGTAGTATACAAATATTTGAGCCACTCACGTGGATAAACACTATCATGGCTGACCTTGGCCTTGCTCGATCAGCTGATTATCACCTGTTACCACGGCTGTGCAAATTGGCGCCAATCAGGCTGGTGTTCAAGTGATCGGCACAATAGACAAAAAGAATTAAATATAGACCGTCAGCTGTGCTGCAGTTACCAAAGGTTCTGGCGCACACCGCAGGGAGCGACTTTAAGTTACGGCAGTTATATCATGGTTACTCTCAACTGAGTTGGGGGATTTAATGTTGATAAACTATTTAAGTTATATAATTTTTGGGGGATAAATTATTACTGAGTGATCCGATTGTCACGTCTATGAAAATTGTCGCTTTTTCTCAATACTCGGATTTTTTGTCACTAATTGTTTCATTATGGGTAAGTCAGCTTTCATTATATCGCTACAACCGGGACATCCAGATGTTCTCCTTGAGCTGGGCAGGTTGCTGTTTCCATCGTGTCGACATACGCATTGGAACGCAACAATCAACAATGCTTCACTTCGATGACATGATTGTAGTATCATAGAGAAGAGAATATTATCGTAAAATGTTTGATATAGTTATTTGAGCAACTAGTGGACGCACGATCCGTAGGAGAGTGTGGAAGGTTATCGAGTGCAGTAAAGGCAATTCGCAATCGTGTTAAACATAATATTTTTTCTACAGTTAATATTAAGCATAGTCGTAGTGACTTGTTTGCCAACTTATTTTCAAGCGTACACGTCCAATAAACTCACGCTGTTTTGTGTTTTTCAGTTGGAATACTGGAGTGCGGCAAAAGTAAAAAGAGTGTGGCAAAGGTAAGTAAATGCAGCAATTAGCTACTTTCTGTACTATAGTGTACTGTATGCGACTTCTCATATATTGAAAATGTGAAGAGAGACGTTCTGAAGCTAGGGTAAATTTTACAGACTGTTCTTTTATCTTTGATAATATTTCAGAGGGAAAGAAATAATAATGTTAAGACATAAACTGTTTGTTTTGAATGGTAATACTGAATAATAAATTCGTTCAAAACGCCCTTTACGTAAGCTAGACAGAAACTATATAAAATTATCTTAATCTGATCTACAAGGATGATAATTTTTGTATGATATCGATGATGATGGTCGCGCATTAATTGTGCCAAGCCCTCAGAGGGTTCCAAAAAATGTTCCTTCCTGTGAGTTGCTGGCAGAAAGAATGACCTTGTTTACGTGTCATCCTAATCAATCCTAACCTAACCCAACCTAATCTAACCTAACCTAACTTAACCTAACCTACTCAATCATACAGTCAAAGAGGGATGCCACTTGCGGCCCCGTTAACTTATCAGGGTGGCTCCCCGGAGTAGTTGGCTCAATTCAGGAATAGCCGACTAAATAATGCCCGCCCATGATGGTCTACAAGTTGAATATATTCAATCCAAAGTTAATCTTACAAACTGATATAATCGTGATTAAACACAAGTAATTACTCTTTTTACAAACTTTAATACCTTTGGATATCTAACTGCAATCCGACATCCGGTTCGATGAGAAAAACATTCTCAAGGTGACAAAACGCTATTAAATAATGTGAACCAATTAATAAAAACATTTGACGAAGCAATCACTTATCACAAAAGTAAAAAAATGTAATTATAAACACGTGATTAGTTAAGAGGTGTTCGTGTTCTAGGGTTTCAGAAAAACTAGTACTTCCAAGTAGACTTTTGATTTTTTTTACGCACGAAATTACCTCTGTGAATATTATAGGAACACTTGTAAGAAAAAGTTGAACTATAATTGCTTGAATCACGTGAAACTCATTTAAATAGCGAAGTGGAGTAATTTATGCAATTATTGATCATTAATATTGAACGGTGTTTAATTGCATATATTTAGGGGTTTTGTTTGAATATTTGTTTTTTTACGAGAGGTTTTTCCAAGGTGCATATCTCCGTAAAACTATGGCAAGACAGAAATAGGCCTACATTTATTCTACTACTTGTTCTGCTACTTGTTATAAAAAATTGCAGTCTCTTCGACAGAACAGTTTCGTTGTCACGTCAGTTACACAACTTTCTCTCATCTCCCGTTTCCCGTTGTCCTGGAAGTCCTTGAGGATGTACTCTCCCAAGGTCATTCCTGCTCCTGGCTCCACGTGTGGGGAATCGGCGATCCTCGGTCATCCACCTCCCACCTTCCCGGCGGTCCCCTGGACCTCCAGGACGTGCTTATGGAAGGTGGCCTCTCATGCGAACAGCAGTTAGTTCTTGAAACGCCATAGTGAAAAAGACGTTTTTATAACGTTTGTGTCGAAAAAAACATAATATCGCGACTCTTCTTTGTTCAACCTAAGGCTGGTTATAGTTGATACGAAGCTTCAAAACAATATAATTTTTATGCAACCATTTTTAACAAATTTATATTGTAAGCTATTTCTACACGCTTCAAAATATCCTTCTGCTATAGTTGGAGAAGAGTCGAGGAATTAGCAATAAGGTAATACTATTTTCATCTTCTGTTGGATGTATATTGCGAAATAATTGATAAACGCATGTGAAAAATGAATTTGCCACTCAAAAATAAAGCTTAACATAATTTGTAAACTGCTAGAAAATACAAACTTTAAAGAGAACAATTAAACAGTAAAAATTCTAACAAAACACTTTCAAATTTATTTAAGATGGCTGAAATCTAAAGTAAATCGCCGACATTATGGTGCATAACAAAATTATATGGACTAGAGTTACAAGCATGTTACTTAAAAAGCCGTCAAATAAATAGTCTACCGTAAGGAACTCAGATAGCTATAAATAGTCCAAAATAAAGAACTCATAGAGCTAAAAAAAAAAATCCAAAACAAAGAACTCGGAGAGCTATAAAAATAGTCCAAATTAAGAGTCAAGAGGTTTGTGATTTTTAAATCCACAGCAATTGTGTGATAGCGATAGACTTCGATGAGGTCGAGTCCGATACAATCACACAACCTGTCCCAGTTGTGTGGCTTCACAGCGTTACTACTCCAAGGTCACCGGTTCGATCCCTTCCTGGACCGCATGGAAACCGAGTCGTTCGCTAGATTTTAGGAGTTTGGCAAACGTTCAATACAAGCCTCACAAAGCCTTGTGTGTCCCTGATGTTTTGACTAACAGATCTCGTTTTGGCACAAAACTATCAAAATGTATACGTGGTAGGAGTTGTAATGGTAAGACATTTTATTGTTTATGTTTACAATGTGCGTCGTTACTGCTATTGAGAAGTGGGTTGGTGCTGTCACGAATTTTCTTCATGACATTTGGCAAGATTCTTTCATGGTAGGATATTAAATTCAGCATAAATCTCATTTGTTAGACCATATTCATGTCAGGATTGGCTCTAAGTAGACATCTCATATAGATGACACAATGTAAGTGGAATTAGTATTATGTTTTATGTCTACATATAGATGTACCAGCTGTAGCCAATTTTTTGTTAAAAAAGAACGTAGTTGTGTGAGCCAGTCACAGAATGCTCTAGTGACTAAAACTCTATTTTCTACCTAATTTTTGTTTGCTGGCCAAGTTGATGGGTCATAACAGTTGCTATGGCTCACAATAAGTCATTCCATTAGTTTGAATTGGTAAAAAAGATTGTGTATTCGACAGAAATAAGTAATTTAGATCAGCACAATCTGTCGGTGGCTCACATCAACTACGACAATTTTGGTTAAAAAAACAGGCGACAACTTTAACATGGGGATGGAATGCTCTAAGAGTTTATTTTCTTCGGAAGATATCTTGGATATTCAATAAAGCAATTAATTGTAAATTACAGTGCTGCGACTGGAGTGTTAGTAAAAACATTAATCTTCTAAATTGACTGAAAGCACAATTCCACTAAATTTTTCTAAGATAATTATTTATGATGGACACTTTAACTTTACTATTAGCAATGACGAATGACTGCTAAACCTAATCAGAGTCAAGTCATAACAAAGTGCAATACCATACAGTTTGCTCGCTTGTGAAATCTTTCATTTTGTTTAGCTATACAACTATACAAACTGATGCAATTAAATCGAATACGTCACTGAATAATCTTAAACGTATTAAGTGCCTGTTTTGATTTATAATGTTTTTGTTTGTGAACGAGGTCAGTATAAGACGTTAAAGGATTTGACGTTAAAGATTATCCAAAACTAATATGTGATAACGGACAAATCTTCCTTCAAACTTGCAAGATCACTCGGGAAATAAATCTGTTGAGAATTATTCAAATTGTTATTGGACTATAAGTTGATTCTTTGATTCTTTTACTAACTTTTTACATTAACAATTTTAACTTCATTAAAAAAATTCAACGCATTATCATAGACTAACCAACAAAAGGAGTATGTTTTATCTATGATATTATACTCGTATACTTTCGTTATCAGCATGGAACAATAAATGCACTTCACGATAAAGGTGGGGGAGGGTTAATTACGACATATGTAAAATTATCTATATATATAAAAGGCAAAGCCCTCACTGACTGACTGACTGACTGACTGACTGACTGACTCACTCACTCACTCATCACTAATTCTCCCACTTCCCACTTACCTAGGAGGCTGAAATTTGGTACACTGATTCTTTAGGCATTAAATAGGAAAACTAAGTGGTTTTTATTCTGATCGGACTCTCGGGCTCCGCCCCAGTGGCTCTGGAGTTTCCCATGTTAACCTAATGAGTACTCATATTTAAATGGAATTAATGAATCATAACAGCTGTTTCAATTAAACAAGTTGGTTCTGTTCTGTGATGTTCAATAGCATTAAAGTTACAAGGATTACCAACAGAGTGCAGCACTATTATTTTTTTAAATTTATGACAACAGCTAAATTGCAACCAAAAGGCGAGTGAGCGTAGCGAACGAACTTCAACCCGGAGGCGAGTTAGCGTAGCGAACGAGCTAACCTGAAGGCAAGTGAGCGCAGCGAACGGGCTCCAACCGTAAAGGTGAGTGAGCGTAGCGAACGAACTTCAACCAGGACGTGTGAGCGCAGCGAACGAGCTCCAACCTAAAGGTGAGTGAGCGTAGCGAACGAACTTCAACCAGGACGTGATTGAGCCATGCGAACGAGCTCACATATGAAGCTAAACGGGGCAAAGCCCGCGGGTACAGCTAGTAGCCAATATAAAACATTGGATGTGAATAGCAGTTCAAGATAAAATTGAAAAATTGTGATCAGATATTTTGAAAAAATTTAATCTTCTTTGAGTAATTTTATATCCGCTTTTCCAGGAACAGTTGTTCGTAATTTGGCCCAATTTTACCATGAAGTGTGAGAACGCATAGATAGCTATGTCAAAAAATACTATGTTTAGCGGTTTCCAAGGGCAAAGTAACTTCTCAAAAACTTAAACACAGCCATTCAAATATTAATGTTTGTTTGGAAGCGAACTGCTGAATAGAGTCGAAAGTTAATTTATATGTATATTTTTTCCTACAGATACTTGACAAAGTGTACTTCCTCGAACTGATTATAGCACGCAAAGTTGCTAACTGTTGCATTTATTTACTTTTGCCGCACTCCAGTATTGCAACCAAACGACGCAAACAGTGTGCTTTTAGGCACGTAATACGTGTACGCTTGAAAATAAGTTGGCAACACTTAAATATGCTACTAACGATCAGCTGGTATAGTTCAACGCTTTGATTTAACCTAACCTAAAAAACGTGTTGTATAGTGTTTGAAAGACTAATTATTTATACGATTTATAGTAATTGTATGAAAAATATAATGTGTAACACGACTGCAACACTAGTTACACAAATAACTATCCTCTCTAGGTCAATAACATAGTTAATTGTATCGACAAAAGACAAAGGAAGAAGCAATGTTTATTTATGTTGCAAGTCGTATAACACTCGCGGCTGAGTCATCAAAGTAATGCAAACAGCTGATATCTTCACAATGTCTGTTGACACGACACGGCTACCAACCTAACCTACTTAAAATGCTGATTGACATAATCCTGGCGACAAAATCGTCATGTTTCCTTGTTTAATCGGTTTGGGGTTCTTATAACAAACAGGTTTGAATAAATTACACAGAGTAATTTAACATATTTTTTCATTGTTGGGTTTTTGTAGGATTGGGAAATGAAAATTAGAAACGTCTAATAATACTGCAACATATAAGCTTTTAGGTAATATCCATACCCATTATCTACGTTACCATTTTCCAATTGCATGAATCTAATAATAAGGAATGAAATGACAAACTCTAGATAACTATGAGGTCTTAAAGATTTTACGCTAAAACCACCAATTTAGCAAAAGTGGGTAGACTTCCGTATCTGTTGGCACAAACAACCGAATGAAAATATCAATCAATATATCGATTATTCGATATATCGTTTAGTTAGTTAGGTAAGGTTAATAACCTAATCTAACTAACCAAACGATATAGCGAATGAAACGATAACAAATAATCGATAATTACATTCGGTTGTTTGTGCCAACAGATGTGGAAGTCTACCCGCAAAAGTTGCTAAGGAAAAGTTGCATTTAACGTGGTTTACAGGTAAGCCTAGAATGAACAACCTCTACAAACTCACCAGTGACAGAGGTGGAGTCCAAGATATGAACTTTTCTCTTGAACACCCTCGCATTAAACACAGTCAGTCCCATCCTGATGAAGTAGTGGACCTCAAAACTCCAGTAGAGGATGAGAATCACTGCCAACACTCCAGCGAGAATGTAACACAGCACCATGGTCCTGTCTACATACTCCACCTGCGGAACATACAAGAGGTTTGTTAAATCATAGATAAATAGAAATATATACCGACAGTAGTGCTGAGGTTAGCAGGAGTTCTGGCGTCCACCGCTGGGAGTGCCATATAGGTAGCGCACGTTCTACACAATACATGGCACTCCTAGCCGTGGATGCCAGAACCTATGCTAAGCCCAACACTGTGGTCAGTATATATTTAATTCTTATAGACAAATAGAATTAAATATAGATCGACAGCAGTGCTTAGATTAGCATGAGTTCTGGTGTCCACCGCTGGGAGCGCCGTGTGGTTAATGCACACGCTCTACACTACACGGCGCTCCTAGCGGTGGACACCAGAACTTATGCTAACCCCAGCACTGCTGCCAATATTTAATTCTTATGGTTAGATACAACAAACATACATCTGCTCTGTACTACAGAGCAGATGTATGTTTGTTGTATCTAACCATAAGAACTGTACTGAATTGTTATGATCGAAGACAATGTCGATGACGTAGTTACAAAGATCTGAATCTTTTGCTAAAATATAAAATCGATGAGCTTAGATACTTGTTAATGGTACATTTGTATATCTAAGCTAGTTAGGGAAATTGAACATTTGGATAGCTTAGCCCAGCCTAAAAATCGAGTTTACTGTGGAAAAGGTTGCCTAAATAGCTATAAGTTAGTTATTGTAATTACAATAAATAGCAATTATTCTTCGTTGATCTTATTTAAAATCAAACAATTCCCACTACTATTCAATTATTATCCTCTTAAACCGATTCACAAATACATTTCATAGAGTTTAGAATGTTGAGGATATTCCACAAAAGAACCACATACACCCACGCGTTAAAAAACCCCATTAATATGCTCGTAAAGGAACATGAGGTAAGATTTAATTCCCCTTCTATAAAAAAATACTTAATAACTAGAAATCTGAACATAATAAGGCCATGTATAAATCCAATGGTATTTTTTTAAAGCTAGAATCGAACCTACAAAGTTTGTAAGGATAATTTTAAATGAGTCAATTTCTCAATGTATTTAACCATGTGCAGTTATCACATTTTGAAAATGGTTTTAAAACAATTGAATTAAGTAATGTCTAAAACTTAAACATTAAATAATATAAAAAGTTAGACATGTTAACATAGAATAACTATCATCAAACGATTGTGTTTACTACCAAACAATGAATCCATTTACGAGTATGTTAAAAAATTCCTAGTTGATAATTAAAATGCGAAATCAACTACACAGTTAAAACGAGTAGTCCTATACTTTTTTTGTACTTCACGTAAAAGCATTGATGAGTTATTTTCGAATAGTGCATACGGTGAAGAATAAAGATGGAATATTAAAAAAATCCATTTAAATTGGATGTATGAAGCCTTATAAAATAGTATTATGTTACATATAATGCATGCCTTTAGTTGCGTAGCAAAACTTACATCAAGACCGTGCATATACCGTACAGACCGAACTCCAATGGAAAGTAAAATTAACCTAAAGAAAATACACAACACTATTTCTTCCACTTCTTCCTACTAAATATGCGGAGTAAGCATAGAGTAGGCAAGGAATATAAATCAAAACTAACCAAAGCGTAGACTGTTTCTTCAACTGCACCACTAACACAAGTCGGTCGTATATATCATTCAGGGGAAATACCAACACAGCATCTGTCATACGTCAGTGGAAATAATTTGTACGCCTTTGACTTTCCACTAGGATAATCTTGTTTGTTCTAGTCTCTATTTAATATCATCGTTTATAGTATCCTGGTTTTATTTGATGTATAGTTATCTGTAGAGATTTTTTAATTTCACTTTTTACGAATTTGAGGTTATACGCGTTTACGTAAATATTGTGGATGAACACATGGTTAATGCAATTTCATCGACAAAACATTTTCAGATGTGGAAGGGAAAATTGTGACAGTAGAAACCATAAAGAAAAAAATACCCCCGCCGCAGCAAACCTGCAGACTAAGCGAATTTCCATTTACCGGGCTGGATTTCTACTAAGATATTCCCTTAAAATTGTCAGATTTATTTCCTGTTTAAATAACATTAATTTTAATGAGTACTTAGGTTTGCTGCTAGAGGGAAGGTATTGAGGTGTTTTTTCTTTATAATTGAAATGTTGATAGCTTAGAATACAATGGGGATTTTTAATTTAATTTTTTTTTATTATCTCCGTAACCATTAGGCATACAACAACGTTTCGATATACAAAACTATTTATTTTTTTAAGCTCTACAAATTTGTTTGGAAAGAAATTGAGAAACTTTTTAGTGCAAAAAATGGGAAAACCCAATTTTTGACCTCTGGGGACCTCGAAACGAAAAATTAAATCGGTCCCGGGTCTAGGTCTTACCATGAGACCTACGGTAATAGCTTATTCCCTATATAGGAAATTCGCTAATAATTATAAGATCATTAACGTTGGCTGTAATGCAAAACAAATCATTAACCAGATAATGTCTTGCCATTTGTTAGTATAACGAAGGCCTACTATGGTAAGTATTATCATGATTCGCTTAGTTATTTCAATGTAAATGACCACCTGAGTTGTAAGTAAAGGCGTGTGAAAGAATTCAATTAAAAGATCAGCATTTCAGTAATTATTTCAATGTTAGTCATTACATAAAAATTACTCGACGGGGTATTAAGGATTACAGTATAAGGATATGCAATCGGGTTTGTAGACCTAGTTATTGTAGCTACACGCGTTTGGATATCCATTGATGCTAGGTTCCCGTATTTTATCACCGTATAGTTAAGTTTACAGTTAGACAAACCAATAGGCTGATTGATATATACTTGGTATATTTATGATTTCGTAGCTACAATATTTTATTCGTTCAATGTTATATCAGGATTGTATTTTTCTATAGTAAACTTCACACTGTAGATATCACTCTATTACCAAGACAAGCAGTACTTTATACAAGATTCCTTTATTTCCATGTAATGATTTGAAGATATTCAAATAACCCAAGAAGTTATAATCGCGCTCTAGTGTTAGAATAGTACATTCCTTAACATTGTTTTCAGCTTTTAGGGACGATTAACCTATATGTAATGTATAATAAGACCAAATAAATCTTAGATGTTTATTTTAACTTCAAAAGTAATAAATACCTACTGTAAGGGAAACATTTTGATGGCAGTTGCGTGTGCTCAGTTGTGGTTACGATTTTGGGCTGATTTGAGGCTGCACGCACACCAAGGTTTATGTAGAAGAGCTCACAGTATGCTACAAGACTGAAAAGTGAAATGATATGACCAAAAAATCGCGAGGCGAAATTAATGTACTTATTGGCGTTTTGCATAAGAGAGTGGAAAGTGATGACGAAAGTCAACTAACTAGAATTTTGGATCAACCAATAGTGTGCTTGTTGAATTTAATCATATTTTCTCATCAAATGCATTGGGATGAATTCACCTTCGTTCAAGGATCAATGAATAGCCATTGTATACATAAACAACATACATGTAGGCAATAGTTATTTGTGTAACTAGTGGGCGAAGTGGCACTTTGATTCACACAAAGTTTCTCGAGTGCAGCAAAGGCAGTTTTCACTCGTGTTACACATGAAAATCCTACAGTTACTATGAATCAAATAATTAGTCTTTCAAACACTGTACAACGCGTTTTAGGTTAGGTTAAAACCAAACATTGAACGAAATGGGAAATGCTGCACCAGCTGATCGTAGTCGTAATGTCTTCAAGTGTTGCCAGCTTATTATTTTCAAGCGTACACGTATTTCGTGCCTAATAAAAGCTCGCTGATTTGTGTTGTTTGGTTGGAATACCGTAGTGCGACGAAAAAGGAGTGCGGCAAAAGTAAAAAAGAGTGTGGCAGAACTAAATAAATGCGGCAATTAGCAACTTTCTGTGGTGATTGTAGGACAAAATATGTTTAATGTATATGAAAATACCATTCTTGTTATATGATTAATCAATGTTTTTTTAAAAGAACTAGAGCAAAATAAGGGGTTACCCGAAGACTCACCGCTTACAAGACTCGTTCCTCCATTTTAGTACTTTGTGGCCCTTGTTACACCCTACACCCAACTACACGGATATGGCGTAGTCTCTAGACCTTGACTAGTTTTTACCATGTATACGATGTGCGTGTTTACCACCACTTATCCCAAAAAGTAGTTCAGACTTGTGATGGTGAAAATTGGGTTATTTCGTAGATAAGAATTTTGTTCAGAAATATTTGGTAAATATCGAAAGAATTAGGCTAAGATATAACATGTTGATTGAAGCCACTAAATGAATTAATGCTGACCAATACTGTACTTTGACGGTCTAATCGATCTAAAATAAAAATTCAAAGATTGATAAGACGTAAGTGTGAAAAGTCTACACCCGTGGTATTTTGTACAAAGAAGTCACATATTCTATAAGCCATGAGTCGACTTTAATGTGATAATTTGCATATTACATAATAAAACATTAAATTTTAAAATACTAGCTACTTGGGATGTATAAAAAAATAAAATGAAAGCTCAATAGAGCAATGGGGGAATTGCGGCACCGTCTTCAAATTGAATGCTTCGAATTTTTCGTCTAGTTCCCCGTAGCCTAAGCGAAACTGCTCGAATGATGGAAAGCTGGCTTTGGATCCTCAACCATCCGATAATTTGGGATTATGGTTTTCTCCATTTTACAGCCAGGGCTTCGCTTGTTCTCCTCTGAAACGCTTCATATTCTTTGTGGGGGACTCCTTCCGTGGAACATATTAATGGTGTGAAGCTTCCTCTGATGTCTTCGGCTGCTTTTTTAGGTTAAGGAGTAAGATGATATAGACAAATATGATAAATTGTGTTGTGAAATTTAAAAACGTGAGCATTAAAGTTAAATAGCTTCTTCCCTATTGGGAATTTCTTAAAAGTAAAACAAATCCTTTAATGCGTTAAAAGTGTTAATTTATAGCTTCTCAGGAGGATACAATTCATTACATTTCTTTAAAGAAAAAATAACATTATTATTACTTCTATTGGCGTAAAACATCAATATCTAACCCATTAGTCCTGTCTACACAGGTTTTCTGTAAATATAATCGTAAAGTATATAAACTAAACTGTCGTGATTATTGTTAAGATATTGGAAAACCCATTGATAATTCCGAAAGGTTTTTGGGTGAGGAAACTCACTCAAAGTCATTGCCGTAATGTTACAGTTATCCGATGTTAGATAGGGTTTAACGATTTGTTATTTTGAACGGCCATTGTATTTAAGTTACATAATCCTAGAATCGATCGATTTTAAACTACCCTTAGAAACCTGTTATAATTATGTACAATCTTCTAGACTCTAGAGGTAGAGATTTTTTTCGAAATGTATCTCGTCAGGACGAATGGAAAATAATAGGTATATTGTATTGACAAATCAATAATGGAATAAACATAATAACTTGTGTTAGTCAAATTTAAGATTATAATTTGCCAATACATTACTTCTTTTTTCAAGTGTTATAATTAACTTATCAATTATTTAAGATGGGGATGCCACTATGTGCGTATTTTAAGCGGAGTATGGAAGAATGGAGATGAGTGTAGGATGAGTGGCGCGATCTTGTAGTCTTTAGTGACTAAGGCCGACATGTTCCTTACAGCTGTTAATTAATAGCCCATACAGCCAATGGCACCTAAGGTTACAGTTTATATAGTGGAATCTATTAGATAAAGAAACACAATTTAGAGTCTGATTAATTTGACTCTGGGATAAACAATCTACTACAAGACGTCAGCAAACAGACATGTCATCCCTTACCCTCCCAAACCCTTTAGCACTCTGCCTGGCAAGTGTAAAAATGTGATAGGACTAGGTCTATGCTTAAATACTTTACATAACACGATTGTTTAGTAATATATTCCATCACTAGGGCATAAAAAGACTCTTTTCGACACGAGCTTTTGAGGGAAATGAGCAAGGGTTGAAAAGACACGATTTTCAGATCTTCACTCGGACAACTATAAAATTAATTAATTCATTAAAGCAGTAATAATTATGAATTGATTATTTCCCATTGAGGAAATTGGAATCATCTATTTGGGGCAAAGTAATAAATAGGGGTTTTCAAATGATTATGTTTTTGTCAATTCTAGATATGATTGTTTAATATGTTCTTAGTTTAGTTCAATAGCTTCAGTGTTTACTCACTCTGTACATTGTATTAAGCTTACAAAAGCATCGGGAATAATTTGTCAGGCTTTCAACAATGCCTTGGGCTTCTGAAATATTTTAATCTCTAAAGCGACATATCTATATATTAATAGGCAAGCATGTTTCTTTAAAACCTTTTTTCTCATCTCGTGTGCATCACAGGTAAAATCTACGCATACTGTTAGAAAGATATTTGCCTGTAGATGTGCAGAATACCTTTATAAATTAAAATAGACTAAAAAATAAGCACAAAAATGAATTTAAAATTTAAAGAAAAATTACGTGGACCTTATGGGCAGCCATGTTGGTGACGAAATACAAACAGAAAATCAAAGAAAATGGAAGAAAATCTAATCACATGATTTGGGTAAAAATAAAAAAGTCTGTACATTACATATTTTTGGTCGAGTTTTCGATTACTGGACGACCTCTAGTACAGTATAACGTCATAGAAAATTGTTTTTATTTACAATCATTTTATATAGAAGAAAAATGTCATGGCTACAAAAATATTTAGGAGGGGTTGAACAATAATCATCAATTAGAATTATTACATTTTCCCATTTTATTTTTTATATGTGAATGTACAATAAAGAGACATCTCTAAGTATGACTTTTGATTATTACCTAGAAGTATGATTTATAAGTTTACTATTGGAATAATTATAATTATTGAAACTACTGGTACTGTATATTGATATATCATCATTTGCAAGCTTTATGAAGCTGGGATATATTTTTATTTTGATGGATGATGGATGAGGACTCACTTTTTTCATCAGTATAATGAAAAGTTTACGATGGAGAGTACTAAAGCTATTTTAGAAGTAAACAGGGTGTGGCAGAAGTGTATTGTAAACGTAAGATAGAATCAGCCACTTTTTGGCTACACGAAAGGTTTCCATTTTCAATTATATTGTTTCCAAGTATTAATTTTGTTCCTTATAACTCATACGAGACATACCCAACACCTAAGTATTGTACCAATCTCCATTTATCATCTCAATATTAAATATTATACAGGTTGTTCCAAAAATTGGGGACATAATTTACGTAATTATTCCTTGGTTCAAAATAAGAATCTTCCTTAGGAGAAAATAAAGAATAAATTTTTTTCAAAATCGCTTCGTTAACCAGACATTCGCCATTTTTCATTTTTTACATTAACATTTTTATCGTTGAATTTGTTTAACCGATCTTTATGAAACGTTGTACATGTATGTTAAGGTAGAACCCATGTTATAAAAAAATGATCTTGATCCAACTTAAAAATTTTAAAATGGCCATTTTAATCTTTTAAACTTAAATTACTAAAAAGTAGCTGATATGAAAAAATGTCACAAGGACTTTTATTTAGCATTTTTAATTCCCTATCAAACTATATACCACGTTAAAAAAAATCGAATAAGAAATAGCTGGAATATTACTAATTTTAGTTGTAAAATGGGGTAGAATAAGGCAGAATGGCAGAAGTTAATCAAGTTTGCCTCATTTTACATTAAGTTGAATCAAGTTGTTTTTTTCTAACATGGGTCTTTTCTACCTTAACATAGATACATACAAAATTTCATAAAGATTAGTTGAAAGAAATTTAAAGATAAATATGTTTATGTAAAAATACAAAATAGCAGATATCTGGTTAGCAAAGCGATTTTGGAAAAAGTTTTAATTTGATTTTTCTCTTCGTTTTGACCCAAGGAATCACTACGTAAATTATGTCCCCACCTTTTTTGAACAGTATATTTTTTTATGCATGCAAATCCATCGTAAACCCCATCACCACAACCGTAATCCCAAAACATTCCAAAATGTTTTAAATTCTCACTTGATACACATCGGCGTCATCCATGTTTCCCTCCGTATACTTGAATTCCTCCATAGTTTCAATTGGAAGTTCAAGTATAGAATGTCGATGGTTCTACTCTTTACCACGTCGGTGTTGTCAGGTCAAAATCAAAGAAGCGTTAGGCAATTGAAAAACTCCGTTATTATTCATCCGATCACAATTATTTTCCTCCTGTCTTCTTTGAAGTGCTGCAACAACGTCCTACAAACATTAAGATTACGTTAAAAGTTAACAGTTAGAAAGTTTAAGAAGGCTAAAAACCGCTCAAAATATTTAATATAATCATTAAGTCTGCTAGTACACTAAATCTTTATCACATAGTCGTGTTTTCTGATTAGAAATCTTGTAATCTAACCAAGTCTTATTTAATCTTAAATAATAATATTTATTTTTGGATTTGTTGACGTTGCACAGTAAAAATGTGCAAAAAGAGTATTTAATACTTGTTATTAAACTTATTAAAATGATCTCTTTGTTTTATTGCATCCTTGCATGTTACGGACTTTTTCAATTATTTCGATCTTAAATAACGATAAATACGACAATTTAAGGTACTTTTAATATTTAAAAATTAGATTTTACCTTCTAACAAATTATTGTATATTTATTTATTTAAACGTGCATATATAGCCTAAGTAGGCCTATAAGAATTGCCAAAATTTAATTTGGAAATTCAAACAAATAAAAACACTGATAAATTTGATTGTTTACTCTTTTTTTAATGGCATGATTTAATCTACATAGAGTTTTTACAAAAGTTTCTCCATGAAGTCTAGACAGTGATGGCGACATGAAGCTGTCAAAGCAATGTTGTAAAGACCTGAGCCTGAGGTAAAGTAAACATCGTCCTGTAAACGACCTTCTAACATCACATCCGGTGTTCCTGCCCTGATTACAACAGGCAAGCTGAGTAAAACTTGTCTCTATTAATGCCTAGTAATGGAATAGAGTGGTCCTAAAACAGTTTTGTATATGCTTTAGAAGCTTTGTGACGTTTTGTACAGTTTCCAAGCGTTAAGTTTTGAATTTGTAAGTCATGTAATTAAGTCCTGATTTTAATTTGCATGCAGTTAAAAGATAATGTTTAACCTCTTAAACTAATTTTTTACTACGAATGTAAAATTGCTTTACTAAACGAAAGCAATTAAGGAAATTTTAGAAAATGAAAAAATAGATTAATCATATCATACTAATATCATACTGTAAATGTGAAAGTTTGTGTGTTAGTTTGTTTGAAGTTAAATCACGCCTTAACTACTGGACGGATTGGGCTAAAATTTGGCATGATGATAGCTTACATTCCCGATTAACATATAGGCTTATTCTTATCTCAAAAATCCCTTCGGGGTCCGCCCCAGTGGCTCTGGAGTTTTCCATGTTAACCTTATGAGTATTCATATTTAAAAGGAATTAAAGAATTTAGTAAGCTGTTTCTACTATTTAAATTGGTTCTATGATATGCAATAGCATTAAAAAGTTATAAAGTTTACTAACAGGGTGCAGCACTATTATTTTTTTGCATTTATGACAACAGCTAATTTGAACTAAACAGCAAAAAAAACCTGTGATTTACAGTTATGTTTATGTATTTAATTTAACTAGTGGCCATGTTGCTCGAATTCGAGCAATTGCTAAGTAGACCTAATACAGGCGTTGTTTTGAATTAAATAACATCCATAATTTCTGATGACTTTAAAAGATTCGACTCAAAGATTATGGAAATACTCTAGATGTACATAACAGATCGATATAATTGACATTTCTTGTACAGTAAATATCTTATCAATTTTCAAAAGCTGATCTTTTTTTAGTGTTTTCTACAAATAGCCTTACTCATAGCCGCATTAGGTTGTCTATAATAACGATTATAAATATATAAAAAAAAAACATTATTTATATTTCTTTTCCTTGGTGGCGTTCTATGACTATGTTTTTATAGTTTGCAAATTGACTCTTTCAATGATTACTAAGAAATGCAGCTTGTTATTAACGGTATATCAGTAGTTAATTCGGTTTTGTTTTTAGTACAGTATATCAAATTATCCAGGCTCTCTCGCTTTTTTCCATTGTAATGTTTACGCCAACCCAAATTCAAATAGTAAATATATCATTTCAACAAAGTCAGTAAATGTTTGTAGCAAACATCAACTTAGCAAACTTATTGACTGTTTACAATTAACATATGTTCTTCTTCTCACTTTTAATTTCTGACAACAGCTGGAGTTTCATAAAAAATTTTGTTTCCCATGTTAATCTTATGGAGAAGTTACATTATGGCTATGGTAGATGCGTTTGACTATAGCATACCGTAAATTTAAAGAACCGAATTTTACCCAACTGTGTCCTCCCCTATTGCAAACGCAAATCTTGAGTATAACAGCAATAAGCATTTTATACTTATATGCCAACCCCTTACTAAGGACGGGTACTCTGCTAGTATTATAAATGTGAAAGTTTGTGTGTTTGAAATGTATGTATGATTTTTGTTTGAAGTTCAATCAAGCATTAACTACTGGGTGGATTGGATTGAAATTTGGCATGGTGATAGTTCACATTCCCGATTAACATATAGACATATTCTTATCTCAAAAATCCTTTCGGGCATCGCCCCAGTGGCTCTAGACTATCCCATATGCATATTTAAAAGGATTTAAAGAATTTTGTCAGCTGTTTCAACCACACAATTTGGTTCAATGATATTCAATAGCATTAAAAGAAGGTTTACCAACAGGGTGCAGCACTATTAATTCTTTTTGCATTTATTACAACAGCTAATTTGAACCATGCAGCAACAAAAAGCTGTGAGAACATTACTATTTTCTATTGTTTAGGTGCAGTGGTAGAACATTACGGCTATGGTAGATGTACTACACTATAGTATACTGTAAATTATAGTAAACCAAATTTTCTTAAAACTTGTCCTCTCCCATTGCAAACGCAAAGTCCGAGTATAACTGCAATACTTATACGCCAACCCCGTACAAAGACGGGTACTCAGTTAGTGTTTTTTTTTACATACACACCAAAAAAATTCCAAGTATTTCCTAGAATGGTAATATTTTTAATTTAAGAAATTATTGATGAAGACAAGCATTGCGAACGATGAAAACTCATCACAGTTTAATTTACAAACTACTGAGAAAATTTATTTTATGTTAAATTGATTTTGGGCAAAATGTAATCATAGAGAGTAAACTTATGGCACAACGTTTGCTCCGTGACAACAATTATTGCAAGCTTTTCTTGAAGGCTAATATGTAAAATATAAATAATTGATTATGTAAAATATAAGTAGTTAATTAACATGCAATCGCTGTACTTATCAACACTTGCTCGCTAAATAGAGGAAAAAATGTTAATACGTGTCACAGAAATTAGATAATTGAATGTTTATAAATTTTAATGAAGGCCTTGTTGTAAGTTGACAAGTTAATAAGAATATCAAATAAATGAGATTAAAAAATGTATATCCAATTCAACAAAATGTCATTCGTAATGAAAATATAAGTACAGTAATTTAAATTAAGCTATAAATCATTCTCATATCCATCGCGTAAAAAAATACTAAATTAAATAATTCTCGGTATCGACAAAGTGACATGTCAGTCAATTGGTGTCAGAATCACTGTGGATACGATACTCTGGTGTGGATTAACGTCCGCACGAGTGAGTACTACGACTATTCGCTGCACTATCCTGATAATTAGACCAATTCGTTAATACCAAGGCAAAAATGTTGTTCGGATTCCACTATAAACTTACTGTAGGTCCCTTAGTTGCCATTAGCTGTATGGGCTATTAATTAACAGCTGTTTCTACGGAATCTGTCGTCCTTAGTCACTAGACTACAAGATCGCGCCACTCATCTCCATTCATACTTGGCTTAAAATACCTACTTGTATGGTCTCCATTTCAATGGAAAGTATAAATTTTGTGGCCCCTAGCTATCGGATAGTTTCTGTTAACATGTTCATAAGCTATTAAATTACCATTTTAAACTTAAGCTTATAGTCTAAACCAAACAACAATGCAATCAACAACGCCTTCATGACATTATACTTTCATTCTTTAGATAAAATACTGTTTACCGAGAAGATAAAGTTTACCTAACGAAAGTGTTTACAAACTTCCCGTGATCCTTCTACATTAATTATTTCCGTAGGATGGAAGAAGATCTACTCGCTGATAACAAATGTTGAATATTTATAACTACAAGAGAAGGCCATGTAAAATAAAACAAGTACAAACATGTTATAATCAAGAATATGAATCTTGCAGTGATACATGTGTGGTTATTTTAGTTCGGGTAGGTCTACTCAAAAAACTAATTTTAAGCTGTTTGAGAAGTTTGGTTGGGTAAGGTTAGGTTAGAACAGTGTCATCCAACCTAACCTAACCAACTAAACTTCTCTAACAGGTTTCAATAAGTTATAGAAGTGTAATTGGAAAAAGTAGAGTTGTGGGCACGTAACGGATTTTGACCAGTTGTTTTATGCTTGACCATTCATCAGATGTCTTTTAAATAATCGTAGAAATAAATTATTTCTTGTTCAGGTTAGCCGATTGAAAACAATCGCATTAAAAATAGATAAACATATTAGTCATAAACGTCAAACATAACTGAACATTTAATGAACATCAAAACATCAGATTGTACGATAAGATGAGAGCAGAAAGTCAATGGCTCATAGCGGACCCAGTGGTTATGTTTGGTAATAGGTTTTTCGTAGGATGTTTGAAATTTGAAGAATTCTAAATAACGTAATATTGCTATGCATATTATTTTGCTGGTTCAAAGTGTGGTTTGAAATAAATAACATGAACATGGCGTGTAACCCAAAGTTATAAGGATATTCAATTTCTTTGGTTAGTTAGAAGGGTTAGTTAGTATTTGTACACCGGGTTTTTCGTCGTCAATTTTTACTAGCCAAAATGTTGCAAGGGTTTTTTACTGATAAATTGAATATAAACACATAATCACTTCAACCCAAAATAATGGTACTCAATTGTTTTTTAGCATGTTTCTTTAAAACATTTTTTCTCAGCTCGTGTGAATTGCAGGGTAAATATACGCAAAGAAAGATATTCCCCTGTAGATGTGGAGAAACCCTTAATAAAATTAAAATAGGCCCAAAAATAAGCACGAAAATGAGTTAAAAATTATTAAAAATTAACATGGGCCTTATGGGTTGCCATGCTGG